CAAGATCTGCAGAACCTAAAATGCAGCACGAACCCTAATGAAACCTGCAGACCTGAGTTAACGTCCCAACACTGGCCCACCAGTGGTAGCACATGGACCGCACTAGTGCACGAAGTCCCCATATGAAACACGCACCGGTGGGAAAAGCTAATTTCTTCTCAATTCATCTGTAAATCTAAAACTACTCTTAAAAGTTTATTAATGGCCAGGCAAGGTGGCACATGCCTGTAACCCCATCACTCGGGAAGCTGAAGCAGGAGGATCCCTGTGAGTTTGAGGCCAGCGCGGGCTACATTGTGAGTTCAAGGTCAGCCTGGACTACATAGCGAGACCCAGGCTCAAAAAACCCAACCAATCAATCAATCAAACAAATGCCCTCAAAATATAGTTGGAGGGTGTGGTGGCATGCACCTGAAACCCCATCTACTGGGGAGGCTGAGGCAGGAAGATCACTAATTCAAGGCCAGCCTGAGCAACTTAGAGAGAGCTTCTCTCAAAACAAAATCTAAAAAGGGCTGGGATGTACCTCAGTGGTAAAGTGCTTGCCTAGCATGTGTAAAACCATGCGCTCAATCCCTAGTGTCACAAAAATAAATAAATAAATAAATAAATAAATAGCAGACAGCAAACATGGCGAGCTACTTATACGCCCTGTTCACTGGCTCCCAGTGTGACCTCTTGGACTTTCACAGTAGCTGGGAGACAACCCGCTCTCCAGATGTCTCTCGGGCGGCTGCGCCAGCCGTTCTGCTCCCCCATCATTACCTCAGGGGTAATAACAGCAGCATTCCCCGGAGTGGTGCTGGAGTTGAGATGTACCCCTTAGTGACAAAGGCACAGAAAATCCTTCTCCCTCGCGGTCTGGCACATACAAGCGGTGACACTGGTAAAGTCCAAGGGTTACAAAACCAAGCAATGATCTGAACCTGGGCCAAGATTCTAAACAGCAAGGAAATAAGGTGGAGGAAGAACTGGAAACCCTTCTTTGGACTGAGCGGGAAGCCAGGGCAGTGATGTACCGACTGGCTTAGCTGTGTAGTACAGGGGTCTGAAGCAGAATTGTGTCCTTTAAATGCTCCCGAGGAGCCTCAGGATGGAGAATAAGAAACCAGAGGACATGGCTGTGCCCAAGCTATTCTCTTAAAAGTAGGGATGGGCGCTGGGGATTTAGCTCAGCGGCAAAAGCGCCTGCCTGGCAAGCGCAAGGTCGTGAGTTCGGTTCCCGGTACCGGAGAAAAACCCAAAAAAAATAAAAAATAAAAAAAAAAAAATAAAAGTAGGGATGGTCAAGAAGTGCCATGAGACTGTGCGCTGGAGCAGCCTGTCGTTCCCAAACGGCGTGCTGGGGAGCCCAGGGTGCCCTGTGAGCCACAGCGCTGTCACAGCGTATTTTAAGTTTTCAAAAGAAACGCAACGAGCTCTTGTCAGACAGCATCAGGGCTCCTAGCTCAGGTAACTTCAGCTTCAACATCAGCTCACGCTGTGTTCCTTTAACATCAGCACACTTACTTTCGTGAGACCAGGGTTCTGCGGTTGCTGTGATGAAAATGCCGGAGTTACTTGAAAATCATCAGGGAACAGAAGGATGGTGACACGGTATGTTTCCAGGCTGCGGAAGCGGTGTGAAGGTGTACACGTTACATGCACAAGCAATCCTAGTCACTTAGGAATACCACAGAGACACAATTGTTCTTTCAGCGTGTCTATTACTTCTGCAGATGGTACTATATCCCCGTATCCCTCTAACTTATTAAGCTGTTGGACCTCACTACACACTAAGTGGACTTATTTTTACATTTCTTCTGCTCTAGGGTTTCACTGAAAAAAATTACACTCAAAGTGCTGTGCACCAAAAATATTTGAGACCCTGTGAACCAGTAGTTTTTAAAAACAGGAAGTAGCAGCTGGTGGGTTGGGGCAGAGCAGGTGAGCGCTATAGCCGGAGTGGCTAGGGGGAAGACAGCAGCAGGTGGGGTCATCAGGCAGGTGCACCCCAGGAAGAAGAGACAAGGCTCCAGGCACCCGGATCTGCCACCTTCACCTCTCACACTGCCCACACCACCGGCAGGATTATCGCAGTTGCTTCTAGTTGGTCCTCGGGACACTGCTGCTCTTTGATTTTCTGCTACTCTTGATTTTTCAGAAAGGGTTAATACCTTAGAGGACACCCCAGTCAGGCTCAGACATTTGTTTTTGCCTCCAGATGAAAGAGCAAACTTTAATTCTTTCAAGTAAAGGGACAAGTAAACACTTCAGGTTATCATACAATGTTATCATAAAACAACTCCAGCTGAGGATGGTGCGCAGACACTGACAGACCCACTGCTCAGGAGGCGGAGCTGGAGAATTGCTTGAGACCAGACAAACTGGTAAGAGTCCTTACACACACACACACACACACACCTACAAGCACACACACAAATTCCCACAGTGAAATGAAATGCACTACCTTGTGTCTCTGTACTATGCCAAAACTTTCAGAAATTCTTAAACCACTTGTATAGCATAACAGAAAATGCTGTTGAATTTACATTTTTTTATGGAAAATTTCTCGCTTTGCTCCCTGTAGCAAATCACCCAAAGCTCAAAGCCTCAGCCATCCTTGTCACCGCTGTGTCATATTTCACTCACCGGGCAGGCCCTCTCCCTTTGCAATGCAATTGTGCTCGGTTTCTAGGCTTAAATGACAGCATGCTGCAGAAAAATAACAACTTCAGATTCTCTATTGACTTTGGTTTTCTTTCAAGGTCCATCTTACGGGTAGCTGGTCTGGATCGTTGCAGCACTCCTAGCGGGGCATAGTCTTTCCTACTCTTGCTGTACCATCATTAAGAACTGTATTCCCGTATTGTCACTTTACATTCAAAATTCTTCAGACTGTCTTCTGCCATTCACCTGAACCGATGACACACACAAAACTAGGCTCTCAAACTGCACTGCACCCTTCCTCACACACTCCCTACCCACTGCTGTGCTCGTGTTTTTGTACATCAGTGTGAGAATTTACCTATTTGATCTCGTCTCTCACATAAATATGAATCCACAGAGCGGAGATTGTGTACCGTGGTGAAGGGAGAGCGCTCGGCATGTGTAAATGTCCTCTAAACCTTTGCTGAATGAAGAATGCCCAGTGGAGTGGATGCAAAATAAATCTTAGCTGCATTATCACTACGACACCATCACATCTCACAGTGCAGCCAACACCACTACCATTTCCAACGCAATAAAATCCCAACCAGCCTGCCACTCACAGGCCCTGACCACACGACATCTGCCTTCATGTCCCCCGGTGGCTCTAACCGTAAGACTTCTGTCACAGACAGGTGATCCCGTCATGAACACGGCAGCAGCATCCCACGTTCCTCATTCAGGGTTTTGAGAACATTATCACAAAATGTTCTTCCCACTTGGGCAAATCCTCCTGCCCCTGCAAACTGCACTCAAACCCAGCCCTCCTTGCTCTCACTGGTCTCTCCCTCTGATTTCTTCTCCCTATAGTCTACCTGGAACTTAGTCACAAGCCCAAGGACAGCTCTTAGGATACAATTTTATTTCAGTTATAGAGCTTATGCTAGTCAGCTTTCTGTTACTGTGACAAAGGTAACAACTGATAAGGTGGAAAAGGTTTACTTTGGATGACGGTTGTGAAGCGATCAGTCCATGGCTGCCCCCACTCCACCTCTGGTCTTGTGTTGAGGCAGAATAACATGGCAAGAGGGACACGGCAGAGGAAACTGCTTGTGTCAGTGTGGCTGGGAAGCAAAGAGCAAGCCAGGAGGCACCAAGGTTCCCACATCTCGTGCAAGGTCACAGTCCCAATGCCCTAGCCCCACCTCCTTCCACCATATTCTGGCAGCACTGCAGGCTGGTGACCTTGACCTGGGTGTCAAGGAGACACTTATCGGAAGTACAGCAGAGCTCTCGATCGTGTACCTGTGAGCATGAACACCACCATCGCAACTAGACGGTAAACTTGAGGGCAGACACTGTGCTGGAGGAAGCAAGCCTGATGCAACGATCTCCCCTCTTCCTAAGCCCTTGACTACTTTACTTTAGGAAAATTATTTTTTTTGAGACAGGTTTTCATCATGTAGCTCAGGGTGGCCTGGAACTTGCAGCAATCCTCCTGGTTCAGCTTCCTGGGCACTGGGATGACAGGCATCCGTCACCATGCCTGACTGGAAAATTTTTTTTTTAGGTGGGAGATTTTCAGGCCAAATTTGCTGACTTTTAGAGAATGGGGAAGATTCTGCTTGTTTTCTAAAATGCCTCTTGGCAGACTACCCTACTACTTCCACTACCAAAACACACATGGAACAGCTATGCCCTTATCATTTTTTGATAAAAGCACCTGTGTTTGAATAAAAGCACCATTTTCTGAATAAAAGTCAGCTTAGAAATTCCATGGGCTATATTGCGGGATTAGCAGCAGAATCTATTATTTTAATTAACTATAACCTCAGGTCTGTAATAAATGATTAATAAGTGTTAGTTCCCAAAATCATTTTAGCTCCAGACATATCTGCACCATGAAAACAAACAAACTACCCCCCCCATTCATTAAAAGAATTTGGGCTGAAAAAATCTCTCACTGAAAAAAAAAGAATTTTCCTGAAGTATCAGAGTATTGGAAAAGGGGGAAAGAGGGTCCAACCTGATTCTTCCATTTACTAATAGACCATATAAACATCAGCGAGTCAATTAAACTTGACTTTCTTTATCAGTTAAATGAAGTGATTGCTACTCTGAGGTCTAAGTGAAACAGCAGAGGTTAGATGCTTCTCCCCAAAGCAAGCAAACAGCATCTTACTTCTCCATTTCCTCCCCTGTCCCCTGCAGCAAAGAAAGGCAGATTGTAGTGACAAGTTATCATCTTACGACCTTTCGACACGGGTCTGCTGACAACTGCAGCAGCACAGTTTTCACAGCACTCCGGATAATCCGAACGCGCCCCCGCCCGTCTCTGCCTCACCGCCGGCTCTCTCCTTCACTAAACTCACTGGGAGGTAAATGGTCCAGATTTCAGAGCTTCTCCGCCTCTCACCGGCCTCCCTGCAATTACCCTGCTACACAGCGTCCGTCTGTTTACAGCCCACCCCGCACTTGGCAGGAAAATGCCTTCTGAACTTGCAGATGCTTCTTTTTCACATTTTTCCCTGCTTTTGTCCCCAAGTGAGTAAAAGAATAATTATTTTTTCAGCTTCAAGTCATGTTAAATTGAGGGAGAAGAAACAAAAAAAAAAAAAGAGCGGGGACTCCAGGCAAAGCTGCAAAGCACCTCGTTTCCCGGGTGGACAGAGAACTCCAAGCTGCCTCTCAGCAGCGCCTGCCTCACACCTCTGCACTCAGCTCCCTGGAGCCTCGGGACCTTGGATGCCTCCCAGGCAGCCTCAGGCTGAGCAGGAAGGGCCTCGGCCTCCGAGAGGAAGATTAAGATTTTCAATCAGCCCCAGGAGGAGGAAGTTACTTGTTCCCACGGGCCTGGGTTTTTTTTAAATGGGTGTACTTTCTTTTTTTGAAACCAGGAAGCCAAATTTGCCTAATGTTAAACCCAAAAGGATTACAGATTCTTTTTGTAAGGGCTCACAGTCTATGGCTTCATGTTAAAATCAGTCTATTTCGGAACCACTGTGACAGAGGAGAGGGTTCCCAGAATTAGTGAAGTGTGTTCTAGTCCATTCCAGGGATCGAACCCAGGCCCTTTGCTAAGTACGTGCTCTCCCCCTGAGCTACCCTCCTCAGCCTGTTTCACTACTTCTGTGAAAAGCACACCAGTATCAGGTCATTTATATTTCTATATTTCCCATTCGTAGCAAACTCCAACAATGCAAACGCTACATACATTATATCTCAATTTTCTACAAAGACAAAATCAAAACTTCGTCTTCTCCTCTATTCTTTCTTTGTCCTCTTTCAAACAAGCTGTTAGGTTCCAACTGGCACACGTCTACACCTTCCATATTTCCCTTAATTAGCCGGAAGGCCCAGAAAGTTCTGCGTTTCATGCAGTAACTTTCTCTGGTTCTCTCGTCTCCCTTGGCAACACACACTAGTGTCCCGCAGTTCCTGCTGTCAGCGACGTCCGGCTGTGGAAGCCCACCTCCCTCCGGTCTGTCCTCTGTGCACCCGAGAACCCACAGCACCTCCCCAGCGCGGCCCCTCGAGGTGCCCACCGGGAGGGGCGGTCGGTGCCGCAGGACCCGGCGTTGGTATTTGCCAAAGAACTATGGGCACAGGCTGCGTTTGAATCTTAATCTGCTGGTTGATCCTGGGAAGCTGCTACACGCTCCAGCCTCAGGTGACTCATTTGGAAAATGCGGACACTGCCCACCTGCCCCGCGAGGTCGAAGTGAGGATCTGCCGAGACAGTACACTGGGAGCGCATACTCAGTCTGGGAGCATCCTGGTCAGGGTCGCGTCTGTGTGGTGACTTACAAACGCCACGTTCCTTAACACTCCTTCCTTGATCTTTCACTCTTAGTTCACTTAAACGCATTTTCACATTTCATTGAACCCCTCCCCTCCCCCTCTGGTCACCGCTGTATATTCGGTATTTTTTTCTATTCCCACAAAAGGAAGGAACAACATGTGGGAGTTTTGAAGATAAATTCACATGCCCAGACTTAAAAATACTGGTGCTCAGGACTAAGCCCAGGTTCACAGACAAACTAGCAAATATGGATTTTTCCATAGTGGGAAGAACAAAGAAGAAAATAAAAGCAGGGTAACCACAGGCAGGGACAGATGGGGTGAACGGTCCAAGGGGCGATGCAAACACATCCTGTTTCCGCGGAGGCCTCCACGGGAGGAAACAGCAGAGCCTCCTATTTGGATCAGAGACAGAGAGTGAAGAGTAGTTTGCGCTGAGAATCACAAGCTGCTGCCGCCACCGCCGCCCCAGTCCCCCTGGTTGCTTCCCGTCACACTCTTGCTTGGTCAGCTGTTCCTTCGGTTTTGTGCAACTTTCTGCAATACTCACTTCCCTCCAATGATTTCCCCATTCTGGCTGAAGCTGGTGACAGGTTTCATAGAGACTCAAAGAATTTTTACTGGTACAACATGTCATTTACTCACAATAGTCTTCGCTATCTGGTCATATTTGACAGACAGGGAACTTCAACCCAAGAGACTTGGGGAAATCTGTCCCAGCCTCTGCCGCTGTACATCCCAACTGCATTTGTAACTTCTTACAGGCTTCCGTCTTTGCTTTACTTGTAAAACAGACTAAATTTTTTTTTTTGTCTTTTTGAGACAGGGTCTCGCTATGCAGTTCAGATTGGCCTTGAGCTCACTTTGTAGCCCAGGTTGGTCTTGAACTCACAACACTCCTCCTGCCTCAGCCTCCCAAGTGCTAGGATTACAGACGTGTGCCACCACGCCCGGAATACTGGTAAAGCAAACAGGTCGCACAAAATATTCATCCCCTCCAGCTCAAATTCTCTGCTGTCTGAATCTGGGAGGATTTTCCCTTTTGAACACATTACGAGATAACAGACACGAAGGACTGAATGGCAGAGCAGGGTGTTCTATTATCTTGTAACAGTACAAGTCTCTCACAAGTCCATGTGGATGGGGGACGGCAGGGCTGCAGGTTTGGGGAAGCCTTTTCTCCCCCTGCTAGTTCATCAGCACTCATTTGCACTCTCCTCCCTGCTGCCTCCACTCTGCGAGCCTGACAAATATTAGTGTATCCAAGACAGAAAAGCCTTGGAAGAGAAGTCTCAAAATAGTGACTCTGCCTGACCTCAGTTGTCATGTAAATTCTTAAAAATCAATAGAAATTGGATACTTTATTTTTCTATCTAATGTGATACCAACACACACACACCATATTAGTCCACTTTTCCTTACTGTAAGTAAATACTTGAGGCTGGGTAATTTTAAAAATAAAATGAGCTGGCCTGTGATCCCAGTACTCAGGAGGCTGAGGCAGGAGGACCACCTCAAGGTAGAGGCCAGCCTGGGCTCCAGAAGACACTTGAATGACATGTTTCAATAGATAAATAAATAACTGGGCTTGTTTTTATTTGCAAGGTCCCAGGCTGAGGGGCCACACTGCTGATGGCCTTTTTGCTGTCAGAACGACCTGGGGCAGGAGACAGGGAACAAAACTGTGTGTGTCTATCCTGCAGTCGGTGTCTCCTTATAAAGCCATCAGGACCCAAGGATAGGGGTTCCACCTGATGACCTCATCTAAGTCTAATCACCTCCCAAAGACCCCGCCTCTAAGCACCACAATGAAGTTCCCACCCCTTAATACCTATTAGTGGACATTAAATTTCAACACATGAACATTTGTGGGACACCCTCAAAGCATAGCCAAACCCTAGCTCACACACAACACAAAGCGGCCCCACCCTTCCCGGACACAGCCCTCGGGTGAGCCAGACGGAGGTCAGGGCGCCCCTGGCGGTGGAGCGGGGCAGCGGCACTGTGCAACTCGCAACTGATGAGCGATTAATATCTTCCTTCACATCTGCCTCTCAGGAACCGTGTCAAAGACAGGATGTGCATCTAGAACAATGGTCCCAGCTCACAACCCGCACGGCTGCCCTCAGGTATAAACACACGCTCCCCTTGTACCAGGGATCTGCATTTGCACACAGCCATCCCGAGCGGAATCCTGTTCTGAGACCAGGCACAGCCTGAGAATCACTCAACGTATGGAAGCTGACAGGGTTCACAAGTAGAAGGCGTCGCCTTAGGAACACTACTTTTAAGTTGGAAAATGGTTATCACAGCATCCAAAGGGAAACTCACCTCCCCAGACCAAACTGACTGAATTAAGAGCACATTATAATTGAACATATTCAGTTTTCTCCCTCTCCCCTCAAAAAACAGTATAAAGTGTTTCTTTAAAACCAACAAAATACTACTTTTCTAGCCAATAATCAATTAAATAAAGATTTTTGTGAAGAGTTTATAATTGGCCCTATCACAGAGATAACTTACCATGTAAAGTGAATTACCAAGTTGACTTACTCAAAGTTCTACATTTTGCTGAACCTAAGATAGCACTAATTTTTATACCATTATTTTATGTGCCCTTTTACTAAAAAAAAAAAAAAAGAATGACTACCTTTAAGATTTCATTAACTGTGAGTTCAGGGGTATTAAAATGCAAAAATATGTATCTTAGATTTTGTGAGGGAGACACTAGGTCGTGCTTTCTTAACAGTCGGTTCTTTATTCTAGAGATCATAATCTTTTTCTTTCTTTCTTTCTTTCTTTCTTTCTTTCTTTCTTTCTTTCTTTCTTTCTTTCTTTCTTCTTGTACTGAGGATTGAATCCAGGGCATTCACATTGAACTATACCCCCTCTTTTTTTTTGTTTCTTTCATATAGGCTCTTCCTATGTAGTGCAGGCTGGTCTTGAACTCATTATGTAGCCCTAGCTGGGCTTGAACTTGAGATGATCATCCTGCCTCAGCCTCCCAAGTTCTGGGACTACAGGCATGCTCCACCATGCCCGGCTATCCCCGACTCTTTTTTTCTGAAAAGTTGCCCAGGCTGAGTCCGAATTATGCAATTTAAGCAAGACCCTGAATCAGCCCCTACCACCACCACCAAAAAATAAAAAAATAGAAGGAAGGGAGGAATCTGAAGATGAAGCTCAGAGCAAAAGCCCTGTATTCCATCCCAAAGACTACAAAACAAACAAACAAAATAGCACGTTTTATCCTTAAATGTCTCTAAGGGCAGAGGGCAGTGCTGCTTCATATTCAGAAGTGAACTGTTATTAAAGTAAGTTTCCATGGACTTAAGAAGCAGACCTTTTTGCCCAAATACTCATGAAAGTGGATACTATTTGAAAAGTCTGATACAATAGTGTACTATGGTAGATATGTTAATGTCACCTCTGATCCAGGCTGAACTTGCTTTCCAATTCAAACAATTTTATTTGACACTAAGTACTTGGTACTATGTTAAGCACTTTACATGATTGCTTCATTCAGTCTTCGTAATGACCCTTTCTCTAGAGGCTCTTATTATCCCCACTTAACAGATGAGGCTGACAGAGGC